TTCGTATGTATGTAGATATTCGTCAGTGTCATCGGGGGAAGGTCGTTGCGTTATCGTCGTCAACTAGATATGGGTTCAATTTAGGCCTGTCGAGTGACCACGCGATTCTCGTGACGAATGCTGACGTCCACGATGCTCATGTTGGGCGTCAGGAAGTTGACCAGGCGATCGGCGCCAGCGCGCGGCAGGCGATCGAAGGGATAGCCCATGGACTGGCGATCGGGATAGAGGCGATCGCGCACGCCACAGTAGCTGGCAGCATCGCTGCAGCGGCCCACCAACTGCTGATCAATCTGAAAAGAAAAAGAATTGGGATTTCAGTTTAGTTGTCCTCTAAAGTGTAGTTTACCCAGACACTCACCCTGTCGTTCTCATAGTTGGAGACCATGACGAACAGATCGCAGCGCAGACCCTCGGGCAGGCCCTTGGCGATGAGCATGTGGTTGGGCCAGCCGCAGCCGCAGAAGTTGAACTCCAGCTCCTCGGGAGTGCCGGCTGCGGGGCGATTGGCGTCCAGATTGCGGAAGGTGCGCTCGAAGGGAATCGTCACACTGGACTCTGTCGAGCGACGGCGTATGGTGTTTGGTCCCGGGTTCAGTGAGACCACAAACTTGTCCAGCTCCACCATCATCAGGCGCTGCTCGCGCAACAGCATGGGCTGGCCACGCTCGTCGTTCTTGGGGGCCATGAAGATGCGCACATAGCCGAAGCGCTGCGCACCGCCGTCATTGTTCACGTTGATCGTGTAGGTGAAGGGCGTGTGGGTCAAGTGGGTGAAGCGAGCGAAGACATTGCCACGGGGCGTGAAGTCGAAGCCACGCGACAAATCCATGTCGGATTGCTGCCAGAAGGTGGTCAGCACATTGGGCTGGCCGCCATTGGAGGCCACCTGGACGCCAGTGATGGAGATGCCCGAGTAGTTGAGCTGCGTGTCCGTGTAGGCGGGCAGGCGGGTCTTGTGCTCCTGGAAGATGCGATCGATGTAGGCGTGCCACCTGTAGAAGGCCGGATCGCGCATGGCCGTGGAGGAGTCGCCAATGACGCCGAACGACTCCAGATGCTTGTTGTTCGTGTCGTGGGAGTAGGAGATGAAGACGTGGCCAAAGTTGTGCAAATCACCATACTGAAATTACAGGGTATATCGAATATAGTAAGGCCATAGACATGACAGCGTGCTATATGGGGCATACCAAAGTGCGATTGGGCGACAGAATGGAGGACTCCAGTATATTGCCCAGGATATCAATGCCACGGGTCTCGTCCAGTTCCACGCGTTGACCGCGCTCCTATAAATACAAAGTAGCTATAAGCAATTTCCCCATTTGTGGCTCCATTTGCTACTCACATCCATGACGAAGCCCTGATGAATGGCCTCGTAGATGCGATCGCGCCAGCGCTCCAGATCGGACACCTCCAGATTGATTTGATCCTGTTCGCGATTCAGATCGCCCAGGCGCGTATTGTCGAAGCGCGGCGGCCAGGCGCGGCTGGACACGAGCGAGTCCATCTTGGGGAAGTAGCCCTCGGCAATGGGCTCGCGCAGGTTGTTGAAGGGCTGGGTGCGGGCCAGGTTGTTGCTGAAGCGCTCCATGTTGTAGCGCGCCATCACCTGCTCGTGCATGTAGTAGAAGAGCTCGCCGCGACGATCCTTGGCCACAATGCTGCGATCGGAGGCCTCGAACGGGTAGACCAAATGCCAATGCCAGTGGTGAAGATTGACGCCCAGATCCTCGCGGAAATACCACAGGCGATGCTCCGGCTCCAGATCGGAGGCCGTATAGTCCCGTGGAATGACGATGGGCATGCGAGAGCCGGGCTGCACCACAAAGGACTCCTCGCGCAGCTCACGGAACACCTGCGAGTCGACGAAGCGATCGGGGAACGACTGGGCGAAGGAGGGCAGATCCAGTCCCTGGGTGTCGGGCCGATGCAGAAGTGCGACAGAGAGTGCATAGTTGAACATCACGGGATTGACACGATCGCGAGCATAGACCGCCACGCTCTGCAGATCGTCGACGCTGCGCATGTTCACAAAGATGTCGATGAGGCGGCCGGCGATGCGACGGTGCTTCGGTATGAACAGCGAGAACTGCTCCTCGCGGCCCAGCGACATGGGTATGCGCAGATCCGGGATCGAGATCTCTCGGACGGGCACACGCTGCTCCACCTTCTCGCCGACACGACTCTGCACCTCGTTGCTGATCGGCCGGTAGCGATCGGTCAGATAGCTATCGGGCACATCGAACACCGTCACCTTCTTGCCCTTGTCCATGAAGACGGGCTCGGTGGGGTGCTCGAACAGCAGCAGTAAGTTTTGAGTGTCGGCCATTGCACAGGATTAGAGAGAGCTGGAGCTGGGCGAGTGTCCAAAAGGAATTGATGTACTAAGCACTTGTCGCACTTTGCAACTGTAACTATCCGGGAGTTTAGCTGCGCCTTTTATAGCTCCGCACTCTCTCTCGCACTCCCTGCTATCTCTAACCACAGACCCTGCCCAAAAGAATGCGCTGCGAAACGGCATAGTTTGTGGTGTCCAAAAGAAGGGACCTGATAGCAGCTGATAACGCAACGAGCTGCAGCTGTGCATGGGAAACCGCAAAATTTCTATAATTTCTGTTTGTTTTTGTTTTCTTTTAATTTCAAATTTCTAAATTGTTGTTTGTTTTTCATTCTTTTATTATAATTATGTTTACACATATATATGTATATACTAATTTGAGTGAAATTTGATTATTCATTTTGTATTTTTGTATGTATATAAATTATCTGCACTATAGATTCTTTCTCACTATATATATGTATGTATATATAGTATATTGCAACAAATTCTACGCTCGGCGCTTTCATAAATACATCGATACTAAATAATTATTGAACTACATGCACAATTTTTATGATATCTGTATACATATATATATATATATATTTTGAAGATCAACAACTTGTTTAAATTATATATTTATATACTTATACATACATGTCAGATAAAAGTAATGTTTCCCTAGAATTGCCAAGAATTTCAACAGATCAAATGAGAGAGAGACTCTTTTTGGTTGATTTTGTAATACGCTTCTCTGTTCTCCCTCTCCGCTCCCTGCTTTCCTTTTTCATATAACTCTCTCTTTCTGTCTCGTCTCTCACACAAGCTTCCCTTCTCTTCATCTCCTTTTCCTTACCCTTCTCTCTTCTGATTTCTCTCCACCTTTTCTTCATAATAATACATGTCTATACCATTGAAACTGTGTAAGATATATAAAGAGATGAATATTATGTATATATAGATAGATATAGACAGCTCTATATAATAGTGTATATACAAGTGTTGTTTCAATTGTTTCATGTTGTTCTTGTAGTTGTAGTTTGTTGTTGTTGTTATGTAAAAGCGTAAGTTCTTGTAAAAAGTATCTTAGAAAAGCCCTTGAACATGTCCTGTGCTCCTTCGCTTTGGCCATTTGTTTCGAGTTGCATGATATGTTGGTTGTGTTGTATAAGCTCTTAGGATAGAAGTAAGTTGGGTTTTGTTTCTCTTGGTTCTTATAGATGAAACAGAATAGAGAATAAACGCTTGGTACCCAGAACCAGTAAGAAGAGTGAGCATTGTGTCCAGTATATGTATATATATTGTGTTCAATATGCGGTATAAATCTCTTTAATCATATCAAAAATTACATACAAATATATATATGTATTTACATAATGTATATATATATCATTTAATAATATATATCGTGCCTTGTAAAAACTCAAAGGAAATACTTACAAAAATAGAGAGCAATAGAGTGTAAAATACATAAGAATACAATTTATGCAAAATATAATCAGTGCCATTTGTTCAAACAACTAAAAAGTGTTGTTTCATATCAAAGTAGATGGAATATAAAGCTGAACTAGTTTCATATGATGTAGTATGTATAATGCAGAATGTGTTCAATGTTGCATGCTGCATGTGGCATGTGGCATGTTGTATGTTATTTTTTGTGTCCATTGAGTGTAGTTAAAAAAGTTGTTCAAGCTTTAGTCACATTCTTGGAGCTGAAGCGAATTCTCTACGATTTGTATACATATATATAAAACGTTTAAATACGATTTGATTCGGTTCGATAACTTTGATTTTTGCCATAAATAGATAGTTACAAATAGTTGATCTGTTGCCTTTGATATACATATGTATATATATAGTATATATATATATATAGATTCCATTTCTTTGTTTGTTTCGCTTTTGTTTGTATGTTGTGTGTGTATATTGGTGCCCAAATATTTTCAGACTACTCTAGTGCTACTTTCATTTCTTTTTTTTTTTTTTTTGTAATTACAATAACAACTATTCGAAAAATTTTGCATGCATTATACACCGACTGCTAAGGAACTTGCACTACAATTTTTGTGTTTGATTTTCTCAACTTGTTTTTCTGCTCTTTTGCCATTCTCATTTCCCAAAACATAAAAACCAAAAAGCTGAAATGTAAATCAAATTTGCTGTAAATAGAGCTTTTGCTATTTGATACATATATATGGGGGAATATGTATATAGTATATATGTAATAACAATTTTCTGTTTTGTACTGAGATTCAGGTTTTCAAATCGTTCGTATCACTTGCCTCGAACAGCACACGCACACACGCACATACACACAGTTACACAGATACTACAACACAGTTTGAGATACTTTCGAAGATCAGAGACTCAGGTACAAGTATTCGTTTAGCCCCTATACGAAATATACGTACATAACATTATATAACATAATTCTTATTGAGAACTAATATTAAAGTGCAATTGGAAGCGAATCATTATTAGAAAACATGTAGGTAAAGCAAGTTTACATAGAACTACGGCGAGCCGAAGTTGAAATACTCTTGCAGAGAGAGAATTATGTAGATTTTAGTATAGATCAAAGAATGGATGAGATTTTTTGTACATCAAATTAGATTTAGAAAAATTCACTAGAAGGATTTATATATTTTTTAGAATCCCTTACTTAAGTAAAATATCATACCCAAATATCTTCTTTCAATATCATTAGAACTTAAGTCCAGACTTTTCATAAAAGAACTCAGCAGACATATAGCAAAGCAGACTTTACAGACTTTTTTCTGAAATATATAAATAAATCATCAACAAACATATGCTTAGCCCATAAATACACTCAGCTTTGCAAGAGTCACAGAAAGCTAAAGAAAAGAAAAATTAAACAAAAAACTTAGCCAAAGGCAAAACGGAAGAAAATGAACTTGAACATCAAAGGAAATCTGCAATCCACAAAACCGGAAATAACCCACATCAATGCAAATGTATTGCCAATGCTTATGACTTAACTAATGACTTTTTGGCTTGGCTGCGACCGCTGCTCCACCAGCTCCAGCTGCTGCTGCTGTCGGCTTGTTCAATTTGGTGCCACCTGCGAGGTGGTATTCTGGTACTCCTGCCGGCAGTAGCCCATCACGATATCTGAACGACAATCGCCGCCCATTAGGCCAGGCAGCAGCACCGCCGCGCCCAGTATGGTGACCAAGGCGCCAAACACGACCAGGCCCAGAGCTGGCAGCTTCTCGCGGCTAAAGAGGGCATGCGGCTCCATTTGAATGTAGGCCAGGCCGGGCAATATGTAGGCCAGGGGTATAGCTGCCAGAAGACCCTAAGTGGCATAAGTGAATATATAGAAAAAAGAAGAAAATTTTGCATGAGAATTCAGTTGATATTTGTTAGAGTAGCGTATGTGTGTGTGTGTGTTTGTGTGTGAATCAAACTCACATTCAATTCCAAAACGGAGCCCAGGCAGTCGGTCATGGGCGATATTATGAATGCGCTGAACACAATGGCCAAGGTAATCGCTTTCGAATACTCATCAATTTCGGCGCCCTTCTCCAAGTTGGGATCCTTGTCCTGGGTGAACTCACTGATGGGCTCCTTCAGCACGAACCGATGCACCAGAGCGCGCACAATCTGCAATGTTGCAACAACAATCTGTGTGAATCTATGCAGTATATCAAAGATGTGCAGCAACAACAGCAGCAGCAGCAGCCACAGCAGCAACTGTGTGGCACGAAATCCAAAATGTAATCTATGTGGCAAAACAACTTGGCCAGAATGACCCACCCAGCAGCAGATGGTCCAAATAAAGTGCTAAGCATTACAGAAACTATCTCAAGGGTATTGAAAGAAGTGGAAATGATTGTTCAGTATTTTGCGCGACTAACAGATACTCTGTAAATGCCAAGTTAGCAAGATTTCTTCATTAATATATAACTTTTTCTCTTTCCAAGGCTAACACCATTAAACAATGCTCAAGTTGGAAGCGCTCCTTAAAAACTATCCAACTAATTCCCCAGGCGCTATCCCTGCTAAACTCTCAAAGACAACTAATAACCCACCTACCTCTCGTGAAACGAAACACTCGATGGGAAACGTCAGCAGTATGGATATGGAGAAGAGCACACGCGAGAAATTCATTAAGTCATCATCCCAGCAATAGTTCTCGAGTAAATCGCCTGCAATAGAGAAACGAAGCAAAGCATAGATTATATGGCCAGCAGGGCAACAGATTAAAATGGCGCTTTAACAGCGCTCTAAAAGGAGGACGAAGAAGAAGGCAAAATAAGAGACCAGAAAATGCCATTAAATGCGAGCGTAATTGTCAATTAGTTTACCCTGGGAGAGGGCGCGGAATGTTGAGTAGCCCGCAATGCCGAAGAGCGCTGCCACAGTCCAGGCAAATCCAATCGAGATGTGGGTGACCTTCTCCCAGCGTTCCAGGGTCGCCTCTCGCATCGATTGATAGACGAGAAATGTGTTGTGATGACACATGAAAGCTAAACAGAGAGGGAGAGCGAGAAAGAGAGAGAGGGAGAGGTATGTTAGAGCTGACATTGAGCGTGACAAATGCAATTTAATTGTTTCTTCTTCTTTCTTTAGTCTTGACTCTTTAGTCTGGCTTAGCCGCAATCAAGTCGCGGTTTATCCCTGCTGCTACATAAGTGCGCATTTTAATGCGTAGCTACTCACCAAACACCATGATGCCCGTGGCGGGTATTAGATCCGTGTTAGCGAAGCGCCACGACTCGGCCGTATCCGTGCTAAACGCAGCAACAGGCGAGGGCAAAAAATGAGATATATATGCATAAATATAAAAAAGGGATACCTTTTAGCGTGGGTAGCTGAGAAATTACGCAAACTTAACACCAAATTAACATTTTTGCCTTTTCTTTTAGATTCACCGAGAGATGTAAGATTCACACTGGACGAAAAAAGGACGAAGGTGCGGCATTTGCGCCATCGAGCCGACGGACAGAACATAATATGCAAAAGATAAAAGCAGAGTGCGAACAGCACACAATGGCTGCAGCAGAAGACGTGGCACAAATGTACACAAATTGGAAATTTATTTAAATTTTATGCCCAGCTACGAGCGCTCACAGCTCGAGCACCCGTTGACCATGAAATACGCAGCAGCAGGAGCAGGAGGAGGGGGTGTGGTAGAGTGGCAGCTGAAGCAACTGGCGAGTGTTTGGCTGGCAGCTCGAGTCGCCGTTAGCAACAGTGTGGCAACTGCTAACGACTCGCCATCGCCACTGCGTTGCACACACTCGAAATGCTACTGCCACAGACGGAGACAGACAGTTCTACTACTGCTGCTGCTGCTGCTGCTGCTGCTGCTGCTGCTGCTGTGGCATGCAACAGCCATTCGACAAACTAATGAAAAGCTATAAAAGCCAAACAAGTGGCTCACTACATTTTATGGCACTGGGCGCCGTTCAATGCCGCCGGCCCGGACCCAGCCAAGCCGAGCTCGGCTAAGCCACCACAGATTTGCAGGCACTAAAGCGCCACTTAGTACTAAAGCGACCGGGACTCAACCTCAACCAATAACAAACAGAACAAAAAACAAACAAAAAATGGAAAAAAAACACAAGCGCCAACCACTGTACCGTTGTTTTTAGCCAAGAGCTTTGGCCATAAATTTGTTGCGGCAGTCGCGCAGCAACAAATTGTAATTAAAATGCAAATAAATCTGTGCGCGTTATTAGACAGCGTCGGCACTCATATTTTTGATAATTTGTATAAATTGCGTGAAAAAATGAAAACAAAAGGGAAACACAAAAAAATCAACCCAAAACACAGTTTATACAACAAAATATAATTCTGGCTAAAAAGGGCACGGCAGACACTTCATTGTTTTGTGCTTGGATTCTAGTCATATTTTTCCATCCCAATATCTTGAAGCATATCTTTTGACCCATATTATATACATAAAATCTCTATTCATAGGACTAGGATTAATATATTATCCTTTATTTCTTGTTCTTGGCCTTTATCAGTTCTTGTAAGCTCTTTAAGTTATACAAAAGTTAGTATATTTAAAGCTAAAACACTAAATAAAATAAACAACCTTGACTTTTTTTAAAAAGGTTTTTATTCAACCAAAATGTTAAAACAATTTTTTTAAATTAATTATAAAAATATAATATAATCAAAAAAATATTCAAAATCCTCTTTTTTACTTCCAACTGGGCGGAATTTTAAATGAAGATTCGACTGAAATGCCTGGCGAACAGAGTATTACTGTAAGCGTATGACTGAAAAAGTAGACGTTTAAAGTTAAGTGCAAAAATTGATTCAATTAAAATCAACTGAATTCAATTACCAAAACTAAAGTAATATAAATAAAATGATAACATAATTGAAAATAATATATGATAATAAAATATGTTGCATAATTTTGTGCTGGAATGTCAAAAATGTGTTTTTATTGCATATTCCCGAGGGCAGCGGGAGTAGCTACAGGAATTTGATATAAAACTGTTGCATACTTTTGTGATGAGATGTCGAAAAGTGTAATTCCATTGCATACTCTAGAGGGCAGCACTGTAAATTTAAAGAAATCTTGCCTTCGCGATTGGGGAATTCGCGCTAAATCCAACTTTTTTTTACAGATAAAGTGTGTTGCAATGATAATAAAATATGTTGCTAACTCTAAGATTTTTTCAAATTATTTAATCCATACAACAGCTTTGTTTCTATTTTAATATTCACTAATTAGTATTACCGTAAGCGTATAACTGAAAAAGTAGACGTTTAACGTTAAGTGCACTTTTCGACATCACATCACAAAAGTATGCAACAGTTTTATATCAAATTTCTGTAGCTACTCCCGCTGCCCTTGGGAATATGCAATAAAAACACATTTTTGACATTCCAGCACAAAATTATGCAACATATTTTATTATCATTGCAACACACTATCTGTGTGCTTGGTACCTCATCAAAATAGCTGTGCAACTTTTGGAAGTACCAGGCTAGCAGAAATGAACTTTAGGGTTAACAATGTTAGCTAATTAGTGTGTCCCTAGCCGATATAGTGACAGACTGGCTAGACACCGGAGCAGACTAGCGAGAAGATTGCTCCCTGCGAGGCCACTAAGGCGATTAAAACGCTTAGGCTTTGCAAAAAATATTAGATAAGTTTAGTTTAGTGATATTTGTAAATATATATTGTAAGTCCTCCTGAATCATCAGAAGGTTAGGCTCTAATATAATATTCCAACTGTGTTGTTAAAGTACTATATTTGCATGTACAGGTTCAACGCTTAAATAAAATCAAAAAAAAAAAAAATTAGTGTGTCCATAAAAAAAGTGCAAACCCTGCAAAACAAGGCGTTACGGCGACTCACAGGTGCCAGCTGGTACGTTCACAATTCTGTACTGCACAGCGATCTAAAAATGCCAACAATCGCTGAGCTGATTGGACGTCACTCTTCGAGGTACGCGGACAGGCTCTTGGCGCACCCTAATCCACTGGCTGCTGACCTGGTAGTCAACAACAACAGGCGACGACTTAAAAGGCTTCACCCATTAGACAACAGATAATGAACATTGTAAATATTTATAAATAATGTAAATAGTGTAAAAAAAATAGGTTAAGGTTTAACGATGACTGCGCTATAGAGTCGAAGACAGAAGCCGCAATAAATGAATTCAA